AAAACGCTCCTAAGATCTTCAAATATTTAGTAAATATCTACCACCAAAAAATCCCTGAATTTAGAAACAGATTGCTCATTTGACTTAAAATCTGGTTGAAGATATTAGTATTCAGAAGCATCATTCAAGCCTGTGATCCCCAGCCTATGTTACAAGACCCCCCCCCTGCCAGTGTTGCTCACAGGCACAGGAAATTAGAAAGCTGTGGGGAAAGAAAGTACAAGCTTCCCTAGAGCCCATGTCTTGCTCAGTGTTATTCCTCATAGACTAGTGAAGGTTATCACCCACAATGCTAATGGCATGTTTAGAGACATATGCCTAACTGTCGTACAACAGGAATCAACAAAAGTAGTTTTAATGATCACTGAGGAGGAAAACAAAATAGGAAAAACAATAACAACAAAAACACAAACAAACAAACAAAAACACACCACCTTCGAAGTTATGGTAAGTGGGAAAAGGTAAACTGGAGCATCTAAAGCTGCTATATTTATATTACTTCTTTTATAAATTTCTTAAGTTTCTAAGTATTTCCCCCCTATACTTCCTAAATAAATCCCTCTTGCTCTTGTGCCCAACCCTTTGTTCCGCCTTTCATTATTCTTATGTTCCTATTATAACACCTTTGAGATCAAAAGCAAAACTGAACACACTATTTGAAAGTATTCAATATTAACTGCTAATGCAACAATACAGGGAAAAAATAGTACTGCTTGCCAAGGGATGCCCTACTACTTCATCAAGTAGGAAATGCATTTTTAAATCAGAAATTTTACATGGGTATCACCACATGTGATATTTACATGATAAAATATATTTCAGAAGCTACTGGCCAAACGTAAACCTACTCTTTAAAAACAGTTGGTAAAAAGAATAGTTAAACATCCTAAACCCCAAAACAGGAAGCAAGTCAAATAAGGTTCTCTGTGATTTATAATATTCTAGACGGTGTAAAATGTTCATATATGACTAATTTTCTTGCACAGAATAACTTCCTCAAGCAGATGACAAGAGCAGGTTGCAAGAGTATTTATGACAACTAAAGATCCTCTGATGTACCAACACATTAAGGGTAATTTAACACCTTAATAAAATAACCTTGGATCTAAAAGGGATGAAGGAGCTATTGATGAGAGAAGAGTGATTTTAAAACACTTAAAGAAATGCAACACTCTAGAACTCTTGGTCCAGAGTTGATACCTTTTATTAGACCAATTAAGTTTTGCATTTCTTTGCGTCTCAGACTAACACAGCTACCAAATACATCCTTCAAACAGTTAAGATACTTCTGCTCTTAGTGTCAAGTCTTCAGATGGATTTGAGTTGTTTGCTGTTGAAAAGGATTTAGAAGCCCACTGACTTCACATACTTTCTATAAAAAGAAATATTTGGAAAATTAAGCTGTATAATTATATTTACATGAAAGTCACTTGGGGAATTAAAAGACTTACCAGGCTGCTAACTGTTCATACCAGAAGCTATTATAGATGGTTTTAGAACATATTTTAAATTTGCAAACAAACATACATTGCTCAGTACCAATGGGGGAGGGGGGGAAAGAAGAGGGGAATTAAAACAGAAAAAATGTTTTATGGAATGGAAGCTCATTTTGATTCTTGATCAGGAGAAATTAAGCATTGTATTAAGGTATTTAGAATTTTCCAATATACACAGTTTAAAGTTGAACTACACATGGTTTAATTATGTATGATAACACAAGCACATCAAACGAAAAGTTTTATGCTGATTTTCATAAAAACAAAATGAACAAATTCAGATCCTTAAACCCTATTTGAATGTAAGGATTCTACCCAATTCTGTAAAAGAGAAGAGCAAATTTGTACCGCCAAGTGCTGCCAAATAGCAGGCATCACCAATACTGGCACTCTAAAGACCCCAAACATCTTAAATATGAGCCTTTGTACTGGGTCTCAGGAATACCATAGGTATCTTCCCTTTTAATTGCGTGCACAAATTAATCTGCAACAAAATTTAAGCTGTTCCTCTCAGCCCCATTAACTCTGAAACAAGTTATTCTAAGGCCTAGTACATTTACAGCTGCTTCAGGTTCTGATCTTCCATGGCCAGGTCCAGACGAGTGCGGCCATGCAACACGTGGCACTGCAGACATATCTACAGCACCACATACCACACATTGAGCTGTTTTCCACCACGCCAGGGAGCAGCACAGGGGATTTTTTTTTTTTTTTTTTTTTTTTTAACAACGGTTACTCGGGGGGGCCAAAATTTTGAACACTGGATATCCAGGGGGTCCAAAAAACAAAAAAAACCCCACCAAACCAAAAACCCGCAACACTCCCCCCCCCAAAAAAAACAAATAAGTGGAGTGGCACACGCAGTGGCAGCACACACTGCTTACAGCTGGAGCTGGGCTGGCCAGAACCATGCTCTGGCTGCCCGCCAAGCTCTGCGCAGCAGGATTGCCACTGCTGCAGCCCCAGGAGGCCCCCAGGTAAGGCTGCTGGGACCAACCTCCCCTATCCCACCCAGGGTAACTTGCTGCATGCCAGAGGGCTCACAATAGGCATTCCCCGGGGACAACTAGTGGGAGAACAAGGTGCACCGCCACTAGTTGTCCGCAGGGAACCAAACCTCCATGCACATGGGGACATGGCCCATGAGAGCAAATGTTTGCGCATATATAGATATTCAGCAAAAAACCTTGTGGGCCCACTCACATGGAGCTCTGTGCAAGCTCAAATCCAGGGGCAGGCAGCCGAATTTCCATTCATTCCGGAAAAGTATTTCCTCAAAAGAAGAGCAGTTCAATAAATCTCAAAAGTCACCTCTAATTGAAAGTTTGCTATGACACTGTCATTCCATGTAAAAATGAGCAAAAGTCAAACATCAGAGGAAAAAATTACTACTCTAGTTACTTTGTGCTTTTTGACAGATTTGTGCAGAGCCACTCTCTTCCGCCTACCTTCGTTTATACCAGATGTTCCCAACCACCAGGCCACAAAGGGTCAGCTGCCAGGTCATGACATGAGCCCCCCGCTCAGACCCACTGTCTGTCCCCCCGGGCAGTCATGTGCTGTGTGGTGGGGCAGCCCAGGGAGGAAGGCAGCCAGGTCCATGTACCCTGTCCCGTGCTAGTCCATGGTATAAAAAAGTTTGGGAGAACCACTGATTTATACCATTTAGGAAGTAACAGGAGAACAAAAGTTTATGACAGGAAAATGACTTAAGAAGGGGCCTGGAAATTCCTATTTCAGCTGCACTTGAAGCAACAATAAAAAATATTAGAAGTAGCTTCAAGTATTTAGGGTCTACCATAGCACAGGATAGTAACATCAAGGAAGGAGAGAGGCAGGAAACAGATCCTATTTGCTCCTGTCATCCAAGCACAACCCAAGGAACACTAAGCTTCAAGTCTACAAAACTATAATCAGGATGTGTATAACCTACGGCAGGCAAACCTGGGTTCTCGCAGGCAAACATGATACCACGCGATCAAATTGATGCAGAGTATGATCCCATAAGACAAGAATGGTGCATAAGAACCAATAACAAGTTGTGTCAATTGTACAGAGACCCAACCCTAACACAACCACAGTGCCTGGACCATGTCAAGAGAGCGGAAGTGATCAGGACACCAACAGAAGTGCTGCCCAGGGTAGCAGAGGGGAGAAAGCCACCTGGAAGACCAAAGCAAAGATAGTGACACGATACCACATCAGACCTATAGAAATGAAAGGCTGACAACCAGGCACATAATGGGCAGGAATGAAGACAAGGTTCTTTGGGTAGATCTGGTATCTTTTATCAGACCAAGTGAAAAGCTGGAAAAAATTGTTCTTTGCAAGCTTTGGGGCACAAACACCCTTCTTCAGGTATATGAAGGGCACTTGTGCCCGAAAACTTGCAAAGAACAAATCCATCTATGCAAAGACCCTCGTCTGCCTCCAATAGCTACAGCTACCACCCCCGAGGCTGCCACAGGCCTATAAAGCTAACCTGGTACTACTGTTTGCTTGTTGAACAGACTTCAAATGAAAACGAAAGGTGACCAAGAAGGAGCGGCAGCAGCTTCCTGCCCAGGCCGGCACCACCTTCCACAACCACTTCCCCAAACCCAGGGAACTGGCGCCTCCCTTCAGCCAAAAGAGCCAGCCCCTGCCGGCTCAGCCTCCCCTGCCAACCCCAGAAGGCCGGACGAGGGGTGGGTGCTTCCCCCGCCCTCCCCAGCTGGCTGGGATGACTGGGCACAATTTATGCCCATGATCAGTGTCTCCACGTGCATTTAATTGAAGTAAATTACCCTGGCATGAGATAGTACTGTCTTACTTAGTTTACTGGCTACTGCGACCTAATACCGAGGCACATGTAGACAGTGACACTTTACTCTGCAGCTAATTAGTCTACCCCATAATAAAGTACATGTGTAGACATGGCCAAAGTGCTCTAAATTAATACAAATACTTTTAAACCAAAATTTCCATAGATATCACTGTGTTTTGTTGCATATAGTGCACACATTTCCTGCCCCCTTCTCCCTCCTCCCAAAACTTCCGGGAGCAAACTGGCAAGGGTGGAGCTGTAAGCGTTCTTGGACGCCTGATTGAGTAACCTGGCTCAAATAGGTGGAAAAGAGGCAGGGCTCTCTTGCCCTCTCGGACCGCTGATTGGATAAGGGGCGAGGCTGTGTTGCCCTTTCGAGGTTCTGATTGGATGGAGGGAACTCAAATAGGCGGAACGGGGGCGGGGCTTCATTGCCCTCTCGGGCCTCGGATTGGAGGAGGGGCTCAAAGGAGTGGAATGGGGGGCGGGGCTATATTGCCCTTTTGAGCTTCTGATTGGATGGAGAGACTCAAATGGGTGGCTGGGCTGTATTGCCGTCTCGGGCCTCGGATTGGAGGAGGCGCTCAAATAGGTGGAACGTGGGGGGCGGGGCTGTATTGCCGGTTCGAGCTTCTGGTTGGAGGAGGGGCTCAAATGGGTGGAAAGCGGGGCGGGGCTGTATCTTCATGTCGGGCTCCTGATTGAAGGAGGGCCTCCGGGGAGGAGGGCACGAGGGGCTGGCCTCGCCTACACCCTCCGTCACGGTACCGGTCGGCAGTCAGCTCCTGCGCTCGAGGTGGAACCCGAGGCACTGGGGGAGGGCTGAGGGGCTGGGCGCTGTTGGGACCTCACATTTGCACTTAATAGGTGGGGGTTGCCCAACCCTCGGGGCCGATCAGGCCTGTGGAGCTCCCCGCGGGTTCAAAATCTGGTAGTGGGGGAGGACTGACAGGTAACTGCCCCTCAGGCCCTTCTGTGCTCAGGGGAGCATGTGGGATGGATTAGGGTGGCACGGGGCCACATGGAGCTGAGCGGGGCCCAGTGGGGCGGGGCAGGCCATGGGGGGCACAGGGCAGTGTGGGGCCAGGTGGAGGCTGCACGAGGCCCGATCTTGGTGTGTGGGCCCTGAGCCTGCTCGCAGGCTGGCCTTGTGCCACTTATCTACTTTGCACAGGGGCAAAAGATTGACCACAGCTATTATAGACTGATATATAATCAAAGCTGATATATAGTACACACACCTACTTTGTTTAGTCCACAAAGTGCAAATCTACCCTTTCCTCTACTTGATTTCAGACTATGTGGCTAAATACATCCGTCTTCTCACAGGAGTAATCATTGACTCATGAGATTTCTCATATATGCCTAAAGTTAAGCATGTGTGCACTTTCAGGGGTCAAGCCTGGCTATTACTAGCAAATAAAAATGTCTTATTTACTAATGTCTTACTTATTTATTGACTAGTAAATGAGAATGTAAATAAGGATAACAATGTCTTCAAGTCTCACTGATCATGTGAGCGCCTGCTGGGTTTTTTTCCCTTTAATTGCCTGCCAAATCACAATCTAACAGTGGTTCGGTTTTAAGTCAAGTATTATGCATTAACTCGGAGGCATTTTATTTGTGTGTGTTAAGGGACTTTGCATTGGACTCACTTATTTGGGACCTGAGTCCAATTTCAAACTCTTCACATGAACGGTAATAACATTAGCTAAAAAAAAAAAAGGCTTATAATATAAACACATTTTGTTTAAAATAAATTCTCCCACCTAACCCAACACTCTTCCATAGGGAGGGTTGTGCTTTTTCCTTTTTGCTATAGGGTCCAGCAGGTACACAAACTTTTGAGATTTTTCTGGTGAATAGTCACCACTCTGAAAAATCCTGTACCTGTTCAAGTCAAGTGGATTTTTCTGGTGACCTCAGTGGAACCAGGATTTTCCCAATCGTGCCTAGTAACCAAGGAGCTACAGAAGGCTCATTGCTTTTGAAACCTCCACAATTTATAAGCCTGGAGAGAGGACACATTTACAGCACTGTAATTAGTACTTATACCAATGTCAAAGAGAAGCACAGCCAATGAATCCCTACACCAAAGTAACTTCAACCAATGTGATGTAGAATTACTCTGAAAGACCAGACGTGAAATGACACCTGTGTAAATTACATTTGTATAATTGTCACCTTTCTGCTTCTGTCTGGGAGCAGGCACTTCAGGGCAAACAGGCTGTTACTTTGTGGCAAACTTGTAGTAGTGCTTGCTTACTACATGCATCTGCCATTGCCATAGGATATCTACTGTGTATCAAGGTGCAACTGATATTGGTATATGAACCTAATGGAAGTTACACCAAACAAAAGTTTAACTGTGTCATGTATCCAAGCCAGTGATTCTCCACTAGGGTGTTGCAGCACCCTGGGCTGCTTTGAGATCCTTTCAAGAGTGATTTAGGGTGCTGCACAGTGTTAGTACTGATATGTGTACAAATATTCACAGTATACACCCAGAGATTTAAAATAGCAATCCAAAATTCTTCCAACAGAAGAATTGCTCTATTACTTTTCTGTAATCAAAAGACAAGTGAAAATTTAAAGCTTCCATTTTCCAAGGAGTGCCTCTAGTCTATAGAGGGGTGTCTCAAGCCTAGAAAATCTGAGAACTGCTTATCTAAGCCCTCAAATACTGGCATACACATTTTTAAGCTTAATATTATACACTCAGTTCTTGAAAAGAGTCTTGACCAGACTCATCTCATCAGTTTTGCATTCATACTTAGTATTGCTTGAAGTCAGTACTATACTTTGACACCTTTAGCTTTCAAGTGGCCTAACCATGGATCTGATACAGCTCCTATTTAAATCATTAAAAAAAACCTTATTAATTTAATGCCTACAAGGACAGTTCACAAGTAATGAAAATAAAGTCAAAACCACAAAGTAGCCTTCTCTGCCCCCTATTAGGTTTTTGAAGTTGAGAAGCGTTCATCTGTGTGGAAGTTTCTGCTATTTCTTTTTTGTCCTGCCCATTTCCTGTCTGTGGGTTTGAGCCTGTTAAGGGCTGAACTTTCTGAATGAAAGCTTACTCCATTGAAATCATGGGAGTTTTGCCACTGATTTTGATTGGCCCAGGATTTAACCCCCTGGCATTAGTCTAATATAGCACGTGTGCATGTGCTATCACAAAAACTTTGCAGTCACTTGCAATTTTGTGTAGTTTCTGTTTAACTGACAATGTAAAGATAAAGTTTCCTATAACATTTGCCACTGTCATATCCAAGCACAGCATATGTAAATTAGATTTCCACAACAGTGAGATTTATAGTAGATTTCATAAATTACTATGTTCTTTGCTCCTCCTTCTAAGGCTTTCCAGGAAGTTACCTTAGAACATATCCAATCAGAAGCATAACAAGCAATTTTTGCATCCGGGGCAGTGTCAGCTCCCATTTTTGCACGCCCTCTAAATGGACGACTGGGGTTGGTGTCTCTTGCCCACCCACTAGTTGCACTACTGAACACAGTGGCAATCTAGTTGTCGTGAAAAAGATTTGTCCTAAGTGGGTCTGGTAGTCTGTTTTAAGAGGGTTAAGACCCTGCTTAGTCTAATCTCTTACATAGCTTGAAACAATAGCTGAGAGAGGTATAACTGCCAATGTTTATTTTAGTGGAGTGTTAACTCCATAAGCTAACGAGGATAATTGAAATGTCAACACACGTAAATATTACTGCTGAACAAATCACATAGGAAAAACAAGGGTTCACATACCAGTGTTCTGCAAAATCTTTTGAGTGACATTTTGGTTTGATGTCCCAGTTGGGTGGAGCTTGGTAAAGTGCTAATACTATTTTCTTTCCAAGTAAACCTCTAAGCACTGCTGTCTTGGCAGGCTATGAAGGGGAATGATATCATTGATTCATTGTACTGGCAACTAGAGCAGATTGAGACACCTAGAGGAAGTGAAGCAAAGCAGTGATGTGGCCGAGAGGTAGATTATTGCATTCCGTACAAATTGAAGCCTGTTTTGCCTTTTAAACTACAGTAATCCAGCCTATAGGTGTGGATTATTATAGTCAATTCCTCCTCCAAATGGCAAGGACAAAACCACCTGGCCACAATGAATTTGGAATTGTGATTCAGGAAAAGAGAACAAAGAGGAAAAAGAACAAAAGTAGTTGATACGTTTTTTTTTCTTCGCCAAGGACCTCACAGCCTACCCTGATCCGTGTATACTGTATTGACCAAAGTCCTAACAGAATTTATGAAATATGCAAGGTTGGAACAGGGATGTGATCTTGATTGTTTCCACTGAACCAGACACATTTTTGTCTCCCTCTCTGTTGAAGATACTGATAAAGAAGTAATGAACAATTTATCAGATCACCCAAACCAATCACTGTTTGTGATACCTTTTCTCCCTCATCAATTTGGTAGCAGCAGAGCACTGATATATTAATCACAGTGTTAATCCAACATTGCTCAGAGCTAATCCAAATGACTCCACAGTTAGAAAGCTAGCAACCATGTCTAGGTTATTGTTCCCAGTGTTGTGACCATGTTAAAAGCACTTGTAGTAGCAAAGGTGAAACATTTTAAGAAGAGGAAACATTGAATGTAGACAAGGCCTTAACAAGCTACTGTTTTAAGATTTCTACTAAAAGAAATTCATAGGATCAGTGTTTAAGAAACAGTTCAAGCCCTAGCAGCTCGCTATTGGAAAGGAATCCCACTAGATGGGGTTATAGTTTTGAAAGAAGGGGGTTTGAAGCTGGTTGGTGAAGAAACATGTTTTTTGCCTACACCCAGTGTATAAACGGCCTGCATATTCTGACATAGCTGACAAACTAAAATTTGCAGTAGCTTTACTGCATCTTTCACAATAATTCTACTTTAAAAAGAGGTTTTCAGGTTTTTCTACATAAGTGCATAAATTGCCATGAATGTTGTCAATCTGTGACAAACAACCAATGACTACCTCTCTCTGTAAATCAGTGTGGCTACTATCTATTTAATATTCAGTTTAAAAAAAACTTGAACATACATGTTTAGCTCTGGTTTGGTTTGGTTTGGTTTTTTTCCCTTTGGAGCTACTGCAATCATTTTACCCTCAGACTGTTGTTTTATATACTTCCCATGTAGTATTTCTTTTTAAAAAACTCCACACTCCACATTAGGACTATGAACCCAGAAAGCTAACCATATGCATAAACTTCTGCAGGGTTGGTGTCCTACTTTGCAAGGTTTTTGAGGGGCAGGGACTGGGCAATCCCCACTCCTCTGCTAGGCATAGATATTGCCCTACTTTATGAATGGAGTCTGTAACTCTTGGTTCAGCTTCAAAAGATTGTTATCAAGGAATGTCATTAGTTGCTAAAAATATATCTAACAGTTCAAAATAGGAATCTGAACTATTTAAAAAAAAAGCTAATAGAGCTGAGTTAAGGTTGTTATAAGGGCTTTTACTTTCCCATTTCCTGACCTGTGATTGTTTAGAACTATTACCTTAATACTATGCTGAACCTAAGGGTTTCTTGTTTTGTTTCATTTTCTTGTGTTTTTAATGAGCACCCTGACTTGTGAGAGCAATTTAATAAATAATGTGATTTCCTTGTGCTTTTAAGACTGAAGAAGTACCAAAAAAGAATCAAGGGTCATTATTATCCCTTTTCTAAATCTACTGAGGTTGAGGTAATTTAGAGAGAACTCACTCCTATTAATTTAGCAAAAACAAAACAAATCAGCATTTTATCATTTACACAAGGAGCTGCAAAAACGGCAAATTAGTATGTGGGAATTAAAGCTAACCCATGAAGAATCTATAATATGGTGATTTTTAACAATAATAAGATAACCTGGAAAAAATGTTATTTTAAACTATCTGAGAAACATCAGAGGTCCCATCTGGCAAGGTATTTAATTACACTTCATAGAGTCTGCTGTCAGTCAGTCAATGGATGAATTCTGAGAAGCAGAAATTTCAACAGTGCAAATTACTTGCATGTCTTGATCTCTGTACACACCTAGCATAGCTGAAAGGTCTCTTTAAACAACATCAGCGTCCGTGAAACACATTTGACAGTTAGTCTTTTGGATAGAAAAGCAATAGGATGGTTGTATATTTTTAAACAGACAATTGAGTTTTTCTCAGCAACAGAGAGGATTTTACTTTTAATGTTGTGCTCTGGATTGTATATTTGAAAATCATAATTGCATTTCAGGGGAGGAAAAAAAACCCAATGTATTGTGCATTCCATGTAAAGCAGATGTGGATTTATTCAAACAGTTCCCACGCTCCCAAAGTTATTAAATGTATTACAATCTCATTTATACTGAATTTCTGTTTATAGACCCAACTCTTTTCTTTCTTACTCAGAAATCTCCATTTGGTGGTATAAATACTATATGATAAGGTTCTACTTTTTAATATCATGATTTATACTATATATTAGATTGCTTACTTTCACAATTAACAAAGAACGCTGTCTGTTTGATTAAGTAAATACAAAATAAATCTTTTATCTGGTACCTGGGTGGTGCATCTAAATGCAGAGCAGCAGGTACCACAGCATGAATGCAAAGTCTGTAACGTATCTATTTAGCCTGCCATGTATTCTAGTAACCTGGAAATAGTGCTTCATCAGAAAGACAGTATGTGGTGTGTGTCTTTCTCTGTGTACCTCTGTGTCATAGCAACTGCTACCAAGGTAGATAAAAATGAACTGGAGCCGAATGAATTAGACCAGAGAATATTTTTTATAGTCATTATCCTTCCACAAGTGAAAGAAACAGGTACAACAGGTGAGTGGAGTACAGTGTGAAGGCTCAGCATAAAAATAACTATTTACTTCTAACTCATTCATTGTCAGTATTTAAACTTTTTTTTTCCTAAGAGAGCTTTTTGTTTTGGAGAATCTGTTTGAGGTACTGCGCTAAATATGAAACACCAATAAAAGACCCTGCATAAAACTGATTAATAAGATGGGCTATTTGTTTTCCTTTAAAATCCTTTTTTTAAACACCTATGCAAAATCAAGACCATTCATGCTTTTTGGAAATTTCATACTGCATATATTTTTTTCAATAGTTCAAAGATGGCATTAGCAAGTGGACATTGGATTAGAAAAGAAATAACAGGAGACCCTCCTAGCCCTAGGTATGTTATATTAGTAAGAAGTTATTTTTGGCATTCAAATTGCATGCTTGTATGTACAGTATAATTCAGTATCAATGCTGGGTATAGTTTGTGGGTAATATCTAATTTGATCTAAGAATAAGAGAATAAACTGTTACTCAATCTTAATGTTCTGCATTGTGTATTTGCTTTGTCAAATGAACAATTGAAAATTGGGTTTCTTTTAGATTAGAATAAGATTCTGATCACATGGCAATTGTCCAATATCTCATAGCTGTATTTTTATACAGTTAAGGGTTTAAATATCACTTTCTTGGTCAAATTCCAATTTGTGTAAAATTACAGTTTTGCTCCTAAGACTCCATGACATTGCTGATATCACTGTATTGTGCCTTTGGTAGGACTGCACTCGAATGTTATGTACATGTACAAACTTTCATCCATTATTTCATAATATATAAGTAGTTTGTGAAGTTACTTAGGTTCTGCTCTACACACATTTAAAAGATTTGCATACATATAAAGTGGTCACTACTATTATTTCACTTCATTCGCTGTGAGAGAGCAGCTTAGACATCCATTGTTCCTTGGAAAAAGATCTTCAATGGCTTTCAGCTATTTTAGATATTTACCTATTGTATTTACTTCCTACCTACTTAAGCAGGTGTTTGTTATATGTCAAAATCTGTGTGCGTCCTGGTAGTGAAAATATCTGCAGGTACTTTTTTCACTGTTATATTTATGTCCTTCTGATAGCTTAGACCTGTTGTGTGCACGGGTTTTGTTTGTTTTTTATTATTGTGCATAGCACTATACAAACACAACAACCAGTCATTGACCAGTCAATTATAATCTAAAGTCCCAATGCTGCAAAGGACTTATGGATGTGCTGAAAATTAAGTATGTAATCAGAAGAAAATGCTAGAGCCACTGTGCCTATACGATGATAGCAGTTGTCCCAGCCAGGTTCCTCTCCGCAAGCTCCAAATGCAGAAATATGTCTGTGAACATACTCAAATGTTCAAATGTGCCAAATACTAAGGCCTCACGAGCAGCCACAAAGGGTCACCTCAGACTGTCTTAACTGGTATGTGGCAGCAGGAGCCACCCTCAGATGCCAGAAGCACCAGGGACAGCCCCTGACACTCCTGGTGGAGAGCTCAGGGACCCTGGCCCCCAGAAAACTTACCTGAGAGGCAGACCAAGACAGGGAGGGAGCCATACTAGCCGGCGCTGCTCCGGCTTTTGAAGTGGCTGTCAATCAAGCTAGGCGGCAGACGGCTGATGATGTCAGCTGCGGCCACTGCCATGTGAGATTTAAAAACCGCAGCCGAAGCCGCGTGTGAGGGGGAAGGCAGGAGGCGAGATGCCGAGCTCACTGAGAAGCAATTCGGCCAAGCCGAACCCCCACACGACCCTGCCCCATCGAGAACAGGCTGGGGCAGCAGTTGGGAGCCAGGTGAGGTGTCCCAGCTTCAAGATCCATGGAAAGGGGCTCAGGGTCAGCCACCACGCCTAGAGACCAGGTCATGTGTATTCAGCCCTGTACCTGCAGAGGGACCCGCAGACACAGGTCCAGCATAGGATATGGAGCCGGAGCCAGGATAAGGAGCAGGAGTGAAGGGCAGGCTGCAGTTGCAAGCCTGCACTTCAAGCAGAGGCCAAGAAGTTAGCGATCCATTGGCTGGATACAAGAAGCCACGGCCAGGAGCTGGCACAGGGGCTCAGCGGTGCTGACGTTTGGCAAGTGGACAGGCTACAGGGCAGGCGGAGCCCCAGAACCAACTACAATGAGTCTGTGAGTACCCCTGTCTTTGGGCCAGGGACAAGAACACCACTGAACCCCTCCTTTTAGTTACAGTTCCATCAAGTCGTGGCAAGTGAGTTGGGGGGCCTGACCCAGGGAGCAGGGAGATACTCACAGCACCAGCTGAGGGCGCCACAGTCGGGGTTTGGAGCATGTATACTGATATGGGTACACAGGATATGGTCAGGAGCTTCTTGGTGAAGGCATGCCATTGTCATGATGTAGACATGCTTTTAAGGATGTAGGCCTGGCAATGTAACAGCACCTAACTTATAGGTTCCCTGTCACATAGGGAATTCACTGTTTCAAGTTAGGTGCCCAAGAATAGGATCCACAAAAGCCAGCAGACTGAATTGGGACCCAGTATGAAATCTGATCTAATGATTAGGTTAGAGGGATAGAACCTAAATGTCACTCTTGCTTAGGACTTAAACACCAAACTTCAGGCTTCAGAGAACTACATGGTTCTGGTGGTGAGGGGCGTCATCTATCAGGACTTTTACTCACAAATAATCCGTTCCTAGGCAAATGCCACAAAAAAACCTATGGGACAATGGTTCTCAACCTTTTTGGACTTGTGGTACCCTTTATTAGATTTGAGGTACCCCTCCATAACTTTGCAAATTGAGTGGCACCAAATTTAAGTAACATTTCTGTATACATTACAGTGTCCCTCCTTGCAGAGGAGCTGGGCAGTGGGGATGGGGGAACTAAAAAGGCAGGAAAAAAGGTTAAGCCTATGCTTATCTGCTTAGCTTAGCTGCTTATCTTCTCACATTTTGCAGCACCCTTCAAAGGATCTGGTGCCACCCCACAGTGCCCCAGAACCCTGGTTAAGAATAGTTGCAATAGGGTATTTGGAAAGGAGAGGTATGTCAGTCTTCTCTGTTGAAGCTACTTCCCTTTGTATAACATGCTTATTCACTGTCAAGAGACTGGACTCCAAATGTCTCATCTTTTATATGACTATGCTAAACTATAAGCTATATATCACACTCTCTCTCATTCTTCCACTGACACCCTCTCTATCTGCCCAATTAGGGCACTTTTACATGTGCTCCAATGCATTCTGATTAGAATGCATTGGAGCAGACTTGATTAATCAAGCCTGCTGAAACATCCTAATCAAAATGCTCCAGCATGCTGCAGTCTCCCATGTATTTAGTGTCTCCACATTTCAAAATGGCAGCAGTGGCACTTTAAAGTTTGTCGAAGAAGCTTTAATTAAAGTGCCGTCACCGCCATTTTGAAATGCAAGATGTTGCATACATACGACACTGGGAGTGTTTAAACTAAAGCACTTCCAAGAGCCACTCTAACTAAA